CCATCAATCGTTGTAATCCTTCTTCCGAATCTGCAACCATTCCTTGATCATCCGCAAACTTTACATCAGTTAGTAGCTCTCCTCCTACTCTGACTCCTGCTCCTACTTCCTCCATTGCTTCAATCATTAGTTTTACCACTCCATTTAACGCTTCATACTTCCGCACTCTGGTGTACCGTTAGCTGGCCAAGCCGCATACGTTCGATTTAAATTTTGTTCATATGTTTCAGTAGTTCCAAGTTGTAGCACTAAACTGGCTGTTGAATATTCCTATCAATACTGGATACACTTACAGAAAATAGAAGCTTTTCAACAGCTACTAGACGACACTTTCATTTTTTGTCATCGCGTTACCGACCGCATTAAGCATATGGTCTAAATGACCTTGTGAGAAGGGAAAAGAATTAAAGCTTCGAAGTACAGAAATCGGATTGGACAAATAAAAAACTGGTTATCTCAGAGTAATGGTTAATCCCTCATACAGTTTAAGCGAGGAGTCATTAAAAGTCGCGCTTTTATGATGGCGCCACCCGGACGAATTCTAAAAATTAACATCATCAGGAATTAAGAGCCTCCCCCCTCAAAAATTATCTCCGACACCGTACATCCGATCTTGACGAAACTTTCCATAAATGTTTGGCTTAATGAGTTACGGGAATGAAAAAATGTTTTTGTCTCCAAGTCTTACGGTTTAGGAGTTTTCCAGAGATCTAGGTCCAAAAAGGACCCCGAAGTGTTTCCCAAGATTTTTAACATACTTCAAGCTGAAGAGTTCGGATTTGTTTTATTTTAAGCTAGACACCTAACTGCATGATCTGACCGACGCCGATTTTTCAGTTAAGCCTTTATTGGTTTTTCCGGCAACCAACAACCTCCAAAACCCGAAAACTCCTTCCGGATTTTCTAAAAACCCTTAGTTTTCTAAAAAACTAAGACCTAATTCAAAAATCGGCGCCGGTCAGACGATGTAGTTTGTTTTCCTCTTTTAAACAAAAAAAGAATAAACTCTCTATGACAAACCGCTATAAAAAAATCTTGGGAAACTTCAGGTGTAACTCTTATATAGAGAAAACGCTGTATGGAATACTAAATTTTAGAACATCTAGGAAAATCCACTTTTGTGACCAAAAGCGATACAGATTCTGAAAGTAGATACTGCAGGTTATCTTCTCATGTGCTTATCTTAAAACCTATGTTTTGACAGAAAATCACCATTTCTGAGGAGGGGGGGGGCTTAACCAACTTTGTGAAAACCATTTTTTATATGGGTAGTTCTGTACCTTGAAGCTTTAATTCTGTCCTTCTCACGAGGTCATCCCGGCTATATGAATTATGGCGTCCATCGAGATAAAATAATGCAACATTTACTTTTATTTCTACTCGTATGTGTGAGGAAATAAATTTTTTATGTTGAAAATGTGTCATAGCGTTACCTGTGGACAAGCCGTCATATATACTTTGAAGTGTTCTCTACAATCCGGCAAAGTTTGAACCAAATCTAAATGAGATAAGCCTCAGCATCTTCGTGGTAATGTTGTTGCACTTAAAAGGTATAGTGAATTCAATTTGATTTACTCTTTCCTCTTTTACTAACAAAAGAAAATAACGTTTCTACTACAATGCTATCTTCATTAGAGAATCAAACCATTTAAGAATCCTGAAGTTTATGAAAACTTCGTTAAAGGGTTTTGTTGATAAAAATGGAAAAGTAAATTAAACCCAGTTTAATTCATTATTACCTTCCTTACAAAACATGGTTTCAGAGATATATTATGTGAACCTCGGCATTGTCAAACCGTATGGTAACCTTTGTCCAGTTCTTTATGCTCGTTAGAGCCGATAGCATACCCGCTATCTTGTGACGAACGATATCGTTCTTCCTGTTATTTTTAGTCACTTTTCGAAAAGGCGGTACGTCGTTGGTGAATGTGTATGCGGGAAGTTCAAATATTTGGGCGAAAGAAACTTGTGTCAGATTGACCTGTTGGCTAGGACTATAGTTGATGAGTATTAAAGACATGGTTGGCCATGTCAGAAACTTGTTATCTGTAAGGCAGATAGTGGACTATAGAAGCTGCCACCTACCAACAACTTAGACCAGTAACGGTGAACGCATGGTAGAACATTCTTCTTCTTCGTTACACCAATGCAGCAAAAAACAGAGAGGCCTGGGATTGCGAAATATTGTTATTCACACATTTTTCTTCTTAACTGAAGTTTGATCAAGCAGTCTTTCAATAACAAAGTAAAGACTTTTCTGCTGTCTGTATCATTATTCTATCTACATATTGGCTACGGTTTGTTTCAGATAAATATACAGGAATAACTGCACTTCATTTTTTTATAGTTAACATACAGATGTCATCTGAGGAACCACTCTATGTTCAATTGGGACCAAGGAAATGGGAGTTGGGAGGTGAATATCTAAAGTTGCTAGAACCATGCAATCAATGTTTAGAAGCAGAAGATGTAGGTCTTGCATTAAGAAATCAGTTGGATGACAAGGGATATATCTATTTGAAACAGGTTTTGCCTGAAGAGTCTGTGTTGAAAGCACGAGCTGCAGGTATAATTGTATTTCATGGTGGAAAGACAAGCAATCGATATTCCTGTATACTTCTTTTTGTTTAGTGCTTGAACATATTCAGCATCTCAATGATACAGGTATTCTTAAAAAACCAGTGTTTTCCTCTTCGTATGTTGATGGTATCTTATCCAGCGGTTGTGATGTTGGTTGTATTCCATTCATGGAAGGAAGTAATTCCATTACTAATCATCCTTCGGTGTTAAATATCATTGAAAATTCTTACTTATATCACATTTTTACTTGCATATTTCATGGTATTCGTCCTGTAACATTTGATTTTAAATGGTTAAGAGGTATGCATCATGGTGGTAATACTGGTTGTCATCTAGATAGAGTTTATATGAATAGAGGTTCGCCTCAATTGTTAACGTGTTGGATTCCATTTGATAATCTTACGCTAGATATGAGTGTGTTAGCAGTATTAGAAGGTAGTCATCGAATGGATAGATCTGATGATAATGGGTATGCTAAACTACAAAATACTTATGCTAATATGGATGTTGATAGAGATAAATTACAAGGAACTGGATGGTTCACGGAAGATCCAATGGAATTCTATCAGTTAAATGAGGCACTTCCGAATAAAGATCAATTTGGTCACCGATCATCTCATTCTGATCCTGTTTGGAAGACAACAGGTAAGTAGAAGTTAAAATTGGATGACAATTATATTGCGCATAATGTTAATGTACGACAGCAACTCTTTTTCTCTTTTCCTCGTTGCAAAACTCTCAAGCTTTTATAACTATTGGAGTGGTGTCACTAAACAGCAAATACATTAAAAAAAATTAACAACCAGATCGGGAAGCTCTAGTAGTTCGAAAACTCCATATTCACTATAGTCCATCCAAAAAAAGAATGTTACGTAACTGTTTTTTGAATAACTTTTGATAGAAAAGAGTTAGAGAGCTCTGGTTTTCACCATTTGAAAGAGGAGGCTTGATGGCATGTTTCCATTACCAAAAGTTTCCAGAAGAGTTTCCCCGAAACAGGTGTTTGAGGAGTTCTTTGGAAAACTAGGCCGTGTGTAGAAATCTTCTGATAGGACTGTATTGCTTTTGTTTCGTGGGCTGTTAGGGCAAAGTATCCTCTTGAAAATGAGAGTCAAGCAAGGCCTTGATTTCCCGCAGTTCGGACGCTGTATCGGATTCCGCTGTTTCCACTTAACGTTAAAAAATTCACTATTCATCTAAAAACCATCAGAGCGAGTTTGAAACTTCAGGATTATTTAGGCCGTGCTGCATTCCTTTTATAAGACATCTCGAAAGGAATTTTGCAAAAATCCTCAGGTTTTCCGAAAGGGTTTCTGAAAAAACCTATTATGAAAAATATGCTTTTTCGATTTTTTCGGTCTTATAATCACATTTAGCGGACAACATTTATCATATTCTGAGATTTTGAATTCGTTGTGATGTTTTTTGAGTGAATAGTGAATTTTTTAATATTAAGTGGAAACAGTGGAATCTGATGTAGCACCCGAACCGCGGAAAATCAAGGCCTTGCTTGACTCTCATTTTCAAGAAACACTCCGCTCTAACAGCCCACGGAAAAAAATTAATACAATCCTATTGGAAGATTTCTACACACGGCCTAGTTTTCCAAAGTACTCCTCAAACACCTTTTTCAGGAAAATTCTTCTGAGAACCTTTGGTTATGGAAACATGCCCTCAAGCCTCCTCTTTCGAATAGTGAAAGTTTTGTTTCAATCGTCATACGTACGAAACAATCTTTTTTAGAATTGATACCTCTCGTTCTTGATGTCCTATATCCCACCATTCTAATACAAGAAATACATCTATCGAACAGACGAGTCTCTCCAAACAATATTATTTGTGTGCAATATGAGCTACGTGCAGGCGAAAAGAATCATTTTTCGATATCTTGACGATTAGAGTATTAGTCCGGAGTGCTAGTAGTCTCAGGTTCGCTTCCGGATCAACGCGTATTATTCTCTCTCTGTGTATTTAACGAACATTCAAGGAAGTAAAACATCTATTTTATGATACAAATATCCAGATAGAGCTATGATTTTCCTATCAAGCCACTAAAAAGAGCTCAATTTAAAACAATTAGTCATCCGGATATTCCATATTATCGTGTCGAAAAAACAACACTTGATTATTTTTCTGTCTTTAGCTTTCTCAGCTGGGGATGTTCTAATTTTTACTATGCGTACAATTCATATGTCATCTGTTAATTTGACCAATAAACTTCGTCTCTCATGTGATACGCGTTGGCAACCCTCTAATGAACCAGCAGATCCTAGATTTATTCAAGTAGAGAAAACCTTAATAGGACACGCTGAAACAAAATTTGGTCTTTATGCGAAGAATGCTGATAAAATTGAAGATGGAAAAACGACAATGAAACAGTGGAGGAAGAAATGGGGATTTGTCATAAAACCAGATACAGAAGAAATGCCGTTGAACTCTTGAATAGTCTTGTCATTGCGTTTTAATGTCCTTTTTTCCTTTTGGTTTCATTATTAATTTATTTTCTGTCGCTTTATTGTATAGATCGCGAAGCTGACTTTCAACTGATTGATATCAATTCAAAATAGTTGATTAATTTGAGTTTGCTTTTATTCGCCATTAGCTGTAATTCAAATATCATGAAAACATGTGTATTTGTAGAAGACATAATGAATAGTGTTGTTTCCGAGACAAGTACTTAACACGAAATATCTATAAAAATGCGCATTGCTATATGTCACATTGCATATGTTCCTACTGACTATTTATTCACCTTTTTATGTTCGCTACAACATGAAAATTTGAAAAGTCCACTAAGCGCTAAAGCCAATGGTCATTATTTAGTTAGTAAGATGCACAATTAGATCGTGACCTTCTTTTCGAATTAGTGGAGAATTTCTTCCTCTTAGGAGCAAACACGTCTAACGAAAACAAACTCGATCAATTGGAACAAATTCAACTTTTCGACTCGCATCTTTCAGTCGTATACTACACATTCTATAAACTGCTTCTTGAATGAAAACCTCACGCTGCCGAAAATAGTCGACTGATAATGCTTTTCTTTCTTCTTGTACGGATAAATGTATTTTTATTGCTTCATTATATGCATTTCTCAAAGTATCAGTCATTTCTTTCTCAGCTTTACAGATGTAAGACAAACTGTATTTACCGCATAAATTATTTATACATACTATTCGTTCAAAAATGTAGTCTTTATAAAATTTATTTCCTTCCTGTCTCTTGAGAAGAAGTGAAAAAACTTGCAGATATCTTTTTCTGTATATCGGGTTTCTCGAGAGTTTCATTGTATATTGTTAATTTCTTCCTCATACCGTCAGCAGTGTTTTGTCTATTTGAAATATATCTTGACATATCATGCAGAATAAAAAAATTGAAACAATTATTTATCTAGGATGCTGTTAAAGAAGGTCTTGAAGAGTTATGCATATTGTCCAAAGTATTTAACGATGAAACATTGGATGAGAGACGAAAATTGAAGTGTACCATTTATTTAAACTATGATGTTTTTTGTTCAATAACATGGTGATGCGCTTACATTTATCGCATTATTGATGAAACGAGAGTGATCATATAAGATTTGGTTTAGTCTTTAAATGTGCGGCATTATGTTTATCATATTCATTGATAATTATCCAAATGTGGTTGACAAATAGAACCATTGATAATATGAAGAGAACAGTAAAAGTGATATGTTAAGTTTAAACCTAAATATAGAGACAAATCCGTCTTCGACAACTAACCAATCAATAAATGAAACCGATGAGATTAGTCACATCATTCAAAACGATATGAATATAATACAAACAATACTCGAACATTTTGGGCCATAAGTGTTTGGTAAAAAACCGAATGATCATGAAGAGTTTAAAACATGCCAGTTAATAGAGTGGGCCACCAAGTGGTCATCTTCTCTTTTTTGTTTCGCAAAATATGGAGGATCAAAATTGAAAAAACTGTTTTTAGGTTGCAAAATAATCGAGATTGACTCTGTGTAGTATTTCATTAACATTCCTTTATTTTTATATCCTTCCTATATCCTTTTATTACGGTATATAAAAAAATGTTTTTGTAGAAAAATTGGAACCCGAGTGCCTCCCGCAAAGCCGTCTGATCATGCATGACTGTGATGATTTTCATCTAAGACCAAATATAAGAATCAAAACATTTAAAATACAACAGGATGAAAAATATAAATCATCTTCAAAAACAAGACTAATGACATTCAATATACAAAATGATAAATTCATTGTAACACCATCAATCTTGAAGTTACATCCATTTTTCCATTCTGGTTCAAACTGTTATTTTTCTACCTTTAACAGGTGGTTTTGTCTTAGCACCGGTTGTAGGATCAATACAGCCTTTATGTTCACCTCTGCTATTATAAACTTCAATGTCACCATGAGTATAATCCCACTGGTATAAATCGCCAGCATCATCTCTTTTTACAGCACCTCTCCATGGTTTTAATTTCGTCCATACTGCGCTTTCCGATGGTTGCATTGTTCAATATTTTGGCTAATAAGAAATATTTTACAAACTAAAAAGTAGTAAATATTCCCCTTCTGGTGATAGTGAGGATCTAGCGGACAAGATAAACTGAGACCAGTTTATCGTAATATCAAAAAATTACTACTGCAAATGTACACACTTTAGAACTCATTAAAAATCTATTCTTACAGTTAGAAAGTGAATTTTCTAACAATTTTCTAAGTTTCTACTGATGATCCAAAATATGGTTCAAAATATTTTCATTTTTTGTAAGCAATGTGTGCTCCACTTAACGATATGTTCCATCAGAAGAAGAAAAAACCCTTTATCACATAGTTTGACAGTGGTAGGCAATCACAAAAGACTAAATTTTTGATAACTTCACTGCTATAGTCTTTGAAATACTGTGTAGAGTTTCACAAAATGACAATACAAGACGATGTTACTTTAACAAGTAGAAGTTCGAAGCCTACTGTTTTTTCTTCAGATTTGCTTACTTTTCCATGTAGATGACTAACAAACACTTAAAAAGAATTGTTAAAATTATTATTTCTGATCAAAAAAAAGAAATCTTTTTCTTAGAGAGAGAACGATACACGACCCAGAATATGTAGCGGCAACGTGTGAGATAAAAATTATTTTATTTCGAAATTATTCATTGTTAGTTTACTTAGTCATAATTTTTAAAGTACAATTACCCAACCTAATGTATACTTAACCGGTTTTAGAATAATACTTAATAAAAAAATCTTTTTCTTGTTTATTCTAACGGATTATGGAGGTTACAGCTACAAATAAGGTTAAATAATTAGGGATAGCACTTTCCCGTTCCTTTCCTGAGTAACGATAAAGTGGTATCTTTTATTTCAAAACTAAAGAGTAAAGAAATAATGCATATCTTTTCTTCCCTAAGGAGAAGGAAAGTGACACCTTTTCTTTTCCAGAAGAAAGAAAAGCGATATCTTTTCTTTTTGCAAGAAAAAGACTTTCTTAAAAGGTGCAATAAAAAGTCTTTTCTTTGCAAAAAGAAAAGATATTGCTTTTCTTTCTTTTGGAAAAGAAACGGTGCCACTTACCTTTTTCTTAGAAAAGAAAAGATATGCATTATATCTTTAATCTTTTTTGTTGTAAAGAAAAGAAACACTTTTCTTTTGTTAATAAAAAAAAGAGATAGGAAAGAGAAAGTGCCAACCCTAGTTATTTATATATATAATTCATCAGTGGAAAAAAATTTAATAAAAAAGTTCCTTACGTACCATCAATGTTCAGACTACTAGTTCGGAAAGTGGCAGTGAACTTTGTAAAGACCAAAAACTTCAAATATTTTAAACAGCACCAACCAAAGATATCCCTAGCGAATATACTTGCATGCAGGTACTTGTTCAAGTATCCGTGCAGGTTTTGACGAACGTTCTTGTGTTCTTTTGGAAGTAAACCAAGTACTTGCCAAGATAAACAAGTACTTGTATTACTCTATCTTCTTATCCAGTACTTTACCAAGCACTTGCCCAAGTACCCGTCAAGTACCTGTGGGAAGTACCCGGCAAGTGCTTTCAGACATTTATCAAATGAAATAAGTCTGTGGCGTTTTACCCCTTTTTCCCGCAGAGAGAAGCAGTACTAGGACACTGCTCTTTCCAGAGCAGATTGTACGATAGTATGATATAAAGTAAAAGAATAAAGGAAGCTTATGTCGAAATCAAAGTTGTTTCTCGCCGCTTACAACCATCATTTATGAACGCTCTTATAGGCATAGTTTTCTTTCTTCGGAAAATTCGACTTTCAAAACAAAAAAAAATTATTCTCAAAGAAAAATTGAGCAGATAAAAGACTGATATTAATCCGGACAAAGAACGAAGATTGATTCATCGTTTAATAACTGAATGGTTTGATAAGGACGATGTAGATGCTGATAAACATCTGTCCATCATCACTGCACGGCTTGTCCACCTAATTCTACTACTTAAGTGAAATTCCGTTTTAATTTTTTTGCATTTTGTTTCTTCTATAACTCTCGCCTGACATGATCATGCATATGGAGCTCTGCATCGTCTCGTATCAAAGAGAAAAGTGTGCTAAACATTTTGAGGCTTTAGCATACGCTACACGTCCTTTTATAGAGCAAATATGGGGAAAATACGAACTACTACTGTCCAAAACTTATCTGAAAAAAGTAGCAGTTCGTATTTTTGCTATAGTTTTTAAACAAAAGAACGTGTGTTTAAACATATCGAATTGCTGCTTGCATATTCGTATAGCTATAACTCAAACAAGAAGAAAAGAGTAGAAAAAAGAGTAATATTTCTAATGATGTTTTATAATTTATTCTGTTCAACTCATTTCTCAGGTGTGGAACACGTTCATACTTGAGAGATTTATATGCATATCCATAATTGCCACGCCATTTAGTTTTCTTGTAACGAGAAAAAAGTCTGACATTGAAAAGGAAAAAGAAAATATTCGTGCGCATTGTCCTCTTAAAAGTTAAAAAAAATACAATCTTCAAGCCTTGAAGATTGTGAGAGGTTTCTTGAAGAAACCTCTCACAAACATCACTAACAACAACAACAAAAATACGAGAAGAGTAGATGATGATTGGCATCAGTGCGTTTGTCTTCTAAGTAAACTCCAAAACAACGACACCCACTATACCACGATAATCTATCCTATATATCATTCCCTGAAGGTTTTCATATCAGAACGGGTGAAGGTAAGTCATATTAACACAGTCATGTATTTCAGTGGTTATGAGGGTCATATTTTCTACAAGTAATACTTGATGCACTTGATGCCCTGATCTACAGGTACACTTGGTGACCAGATGGAATAAATTGGCCGATCTCTAAATTTCTGAAAAACTAAATTTTAAAATTAAGGACCTATAAGTGGTCCTCGAAATCCATGGCAAAACCGAATCAAACATTTCCTAGCCGAAATCGTTTAGGTACACATGGATTAGCATTTGTAGAATATATGGTGAAAGTTCCAGCTTTCTATCACCCACCATTTCTGAGAAAAGGAATTTTTTTCTATCCATGGTAAAAATTTCAGCCAAATCGGTTATATCAGTCTATTCACCTGTCTGATCTTACGAGATAATGGCTCTTAAGATGATTCGTAGTGAGTCCCTCTACTTATACCGAACTCTAATGTAACAACATCTAATGACATAGTATTTTATGTTGACATTTAAGAACGTCAACTGATGCGACGTAGTTAACAGTTCAGAACGTGAACGGCAAAACCGTTGCCGTTCACGTTGATATGTTTGCCAAATCCGGCTAGAGCCCTAGTTCTACCTTCGTTGTTGTGAGTATGATGATGACACGTTCTACCGCGCAGTGCGTATATGACGAAGCATAAAACTGATGAAAGTTGCACAATGATGAGGCACAAATGGAAATGCTGCATCTATCATTGATGGTAAGTACATGTTATTTCATTAATTTTATTGATGAGCATAAGTTTTAAAATTATTGCGATAATAATAGCAGCTCTTTTAATACTCCTCCTTTATTTTAGTGAATTATTTATTTAGTCGACGTTTCGAAAAAAACATTTTTTATTATCAAGAATACCAAAAGAAGATGAAACATATTAACACAATAGTGAAATTGCAAATTTGAAGTGGATGAAATCATTATTTAACCTTATATAGTGCATAGATGGATAGAAAAGTTCTGGACTTAAGCATCAATTTTTTGTCCTTTTTCAGAATATCCAGTCAAAAAAAATATCTAGAGGAGTATGATGGCACACTCTCTTTGGAAAAAAAAAGGAGTAATTTTTTTTCCAAAAAGGGTGCTCCAAAGAAGGAGTAATCTCAATAACCCTTTTTTAAGAATTACTCCGCGGTACACGAAGTGCATGTTCTTAAAAGGAATGCTCCAAAAACTACACTTCTTTTGAAGTACTCTGCAGTGTCTTGACCGCACTTCATGAAAAGGGGTGCTCCGAAGTGCTCTTTTTTTGAGGAGTATTCTGGACTATTCCAAAAAAAGAGTACTCTAGAATGCTCTTAGTGGCTTTTTTCGAAAGGAGTGTTCTGAAAACAGAGTACACCTTCATACTCCTACTCCTGACCTTCTTTTTAACTGGGTAAACAAAGGCTTTTTTTTTCTCCTAAAACAGCTGCGTACTTATGTACTTTCATTTGGTTATGAATCACAACGCTTGCCCATTTCTTCTTTTCTCTTCTTAAAAGAATAAAAGAAAAAGGCCTTTGTCTATTGTAAGGAATCATAAAAAATTTATGTTTGCGTCCAGAATTTTTCTCTTTTTCTTTTCTATCCATCTGTGTACTATATAAGGTTAAACAATGATTTCATCCACTTCAAATTTGCAATGTCACTATTGTGTTAATATATTTCATCTTCTTTTGGTAATTCTTGATAATGAAAAATGTTTTTTCAAAACGTCTGTTGAATAAATAATTGAGTAAAATAAGTAAGAATATTAAAAGATCTAAAAGAAAAACAGAGAACAATAGATGGTTTTACTTGAGCTAGATAATTCATTAATGTACGAGTGAATATGCAGCAAAGTTTATCACACAAAGATAATCCTTGTACAGACAATAGACACTTATTCATCAGTGAAATTCGTTCGATTCTGTCTATTGTGTGTACAAGGATTATCTTTGTGTGATAAACTTTGCTGCATATTCACTCATACATTGAAAAAAAAAGAAAAAGAACACGTATTTTTTTTACGTATGGGAAGAAAGCGCCTCGTACACTTTTCCGTTCTGTTGCGAAGGCGATGACACACTCAACCGCGTAGGGTGTATGTGACAAGGCACAAAGTGATGAAAGGTGCGCAACGATGAGGCACAAAGAGGAATGCGGCATCTATCATTGATGAACATATTATTTCATGTGGCTTTCTCCAACCGATGTCTAAAGAGAATTTTGTCGACAGACTGTATGCTTGAATTTTTCTTGCAGATTTGTAAAATTTTCTCATCAAGATGCTGCTATTCTATTTTCTCCGGCAGCCGGAAACACAAGCTC